ACACAAAAATTACCATTCACGAATCACAGACCAAAGTGTCAAAGCTAAGTCTATAAAACCTATAGGAGAAAAGTAAGGGCGAAAAAAAAAAATGTCACTTTTGTTTAAGCAAAAAAATAAAAACAAAAAATAAATTGCTGAAGGGTGAGTACGCTCTCTGCGGAGTAAAGGTGAGAAAAGATCTCTGGTGGGAGATAGTCACACCACGATCTTTAATCCTCCATTTCTCCCTTCAGAATTTTGGGCACACACATGCCCAACATGTTTCTCAGGCTGCTGGAACTGGGACACCAACTGTGTGGTCAGCCAGGTGGGATCCATCTGCCTTAACCACCACATCACCAGCTGGCCTGGGAAACATTTTTGCTAAGGCTCTCTTCAGCAGTAATGCAGTGATCTCTAATGCTAGAAACCACATGGGAAGTCAGGGTTTGGGTCCAGGTTAGCTGTACACTACAGGTGTGCGTACTCACAATCATGATCTTGGCCGGCTCATAAAGCCTGGGAGCCTCTCTCTTCACTCGCTCCCTCTCATAAAATAAACTTTAAAAGACTCTCTGCATGCCTGTGTTACAAAAGGTAGTGAGGAGTTTCCTTTTTCATTCATAAGCCTTTCCTAGAAATAGACTGTTGTTGGCTACTTACTGCAAGATTCATGGTGGGACCCCAGGAAAGGGGAGATTTTTACGTGATAGTTCTTCTCCTCCAGCGTCAGTCTTAAGCTGGCTTTGTGTGCCACATTTCGGCATTGAACCGTTCCTCATTTCCCTGCCCCTTCTATAGTGAAACCAGAGTGCACTCCAGTGTTCTACCCTTCTCTGAAAGAACTGACCTCTGCCTCGAATTAGTGAAGTTAAGCAAGCTAATTTCCTTATGCTATTGTCACAGCAATAGACTTCTTTAGGTCATTGTACATTCCTGAGAATAAGTAGGTGTCTGTGTCTGCCCCAAAGGCAGATGGGTTTTCCTACCATCAAGTGCTGGTTGGAGGAGAGCCTTTCGCACCTCACTGAGTGGCCCCTGACACGGCCTAGGTAGAACAGGGAGTGAGAGGGCTCCGTGTCCCTTGGCAAGTCCTAACCATCCTTTGCCTGAGACTTATGGAATGTTTTCCTGCCTCTGATGTGCTGGGGGCTTCTATTTTCAGAGCAGGGCCAGAGAGTGGAGGCTAGAAGGGTTCTTGTCTTTCTCCAGTGTCAGATATCTTTTTCTCTTTTCATACCTGGCCCAGAACAGCAGCTGAACCCACGTTGTAAAAGAGCTGGTGGTCAAGCAGATGCAGCAGCCCCCCATGGATATGGAGCACTTGGGGATTTTGGTCTCTCACATTGTGATGGACTAAAACAGATGATAAGGAAAATGGTGTATGTTAGGCTAAGATGCATCCCATAGGCCTGCCTCACCCATTCCACAGAGCAGAGTAAAAAGAGGATGTGGTTTTTGTGCTTAAATGCTCTGCAAAAATTTAAGAGCTGTTGTCCCAAACACTATGGCAGGATGGCAGTCTCTGGCCAGGAATAAAGGCTCCTAAAATTTTAATTTCTCGGTGGTCTCGGTCTTCATAATATCTCACACCACAATGATATGAGCCCATAGTAGGTCTTTAAGAATCATTAGTGTGCCTTCTACCTGGTTATGGCTGCTTTCACTCGGCCTAGGTTCTACCAACAATTAAACAGTTCATGTATTCTGTCTTTTTTCAGAAGAGCTTGTCAATCTTTGGAATTTGGTTCATCTGCATGCTTTGAGTCCTTAGCTCTCTGGTTGTTAATTAAAAAATTACAATTTTTTTTTTATTACATGACTCTTTCTCATTGTTAGCATGGGAACAATATTGCCTTAATACTTCTTACATACTAAGTGGAAATAGAGCTCCTTCTCCAGTTAATTTTTTTCTAGAATTGGACTATATTATTCTTCCTTTGGTTGGTTACCACCAGAAAAAACAATACAGTTTGGACTGAAGGGTAATACAACAAATAATGTAAAGTTTTGAACAAAAGACTGAGCTTCAGCAGGTTTTATTTATAACACTCTGAGAGGCCTGAGGAAACAGAAGCACTGAAGAACTACCATATTCAGATCTCTTACCTTACACTCAGAAAATACAATCTTTGAAAGGAATGGTGGCTAAAATCATAATTATTAGCAAATTTCTTTCTTTTATCTCTTTCCTTCTTCCACTTTTGTTTCTATCTACTTCCTTTTGTCCATTTCTTTTGCCTCTTTCCCCACTAGTGGAATTTGAGATAAGAAAAGGTGCTGAATATGTTACTCCTGTGTACTTAGCTTAGTATTAAAGAGTTTCAATATAGTCTTTCTATGTTACAGTCTAGCCTCTCTCCACTTCCAATCAAACCTGTCCTCTCACTATTCCTCCTTCCATGTTTTTGCTTTTTCTTACCCTGATTTTAACCTTGAAATTTTAGAATCTCTCAATTTCCAATAACTGAACTAATCACCAAAACATACTATTTGTACACTTACAATTTTTAAAAACAAAAATCCAGTGAACATAGCTGTATGTAAAAAATACATTTTCACTGCTCATTTGGTCCCTTGCAATATGTTGAAAGCTGCATCATGCCATGGAGCATGAAGCAAAAATAGAATAAAACTGTTTCTGCTGAAATTTTTAAGTGAAGAGCACCACCTTGTGGGGACATATGCTTAACTATATTACATGAAATGGATGACAGAATTGATATAGGAATACAATTTAGTTTTTAAAAAAATTTATACTATTAATAAATTATTACTGTAGAAAGAAAACATACTTTTTACTAAAAAGGATAGAAGGGTTAAATGTGAAAATTTTCTCAGTTTGTTATATTCTATGAATCACTAAAAATAGTCTATAAAATTGCTAATGATCACTTTTATATAAATATTAATTCTATTAGAGCTAATATTTAGCAGAAAATTACAGTTATAAGAATTTATTAGTATGACCTAATCCTGGAAAGCCTTTACAAAGTAAATTCAAAATTGAGAAAATGTGTTTAGTGTGTTCACCAACTGACATCTCAACAGTTTAGGCTGGGTGTATTCATGTAAATCTCTTATCAGTTTGCCTGACTAATTTTTGATCAAGGTGTAAGATATTTGAATGAAGTAATGCTTCCTTGATGTATACTGGGGAACCGATTACTTAACAAAAGTGAATTTTATTATTTTAATTTAAAAATGTGCACTACAACACACTATTGCCACTTACTGGTAATGTTTTTTCTGGAGTTTTTTAGGGTACATTGTCTTTAATTTTTTAATAGCATGTATTTGATGCTTTTAATGTTTCCTAGAATTAACTTTTAAAAATTTAACCTCTTTTTGGCTAAATTGTTGCTGGTTAAGTTTCTCACTTGACATTGTTTCATCTAAGTTGGCTTTGATAGGTTGGAATAGTTTTTTATTTTGACCCTTCTGGAAGACAACTGTATATAGCAGAGATAGTGTAAACTGGAGAGGGGGAAAGGGCTGAGGGTCAAACATAGGTTAAAAAACATATATATATATATGTATACATATGTAGGAAAGTAGAAATGGAATATTATTGGTGATAACATGCTTGATTAAGACACTATGCAGTTTATCCTAGATGGGAACTACATTTAGTGTGTTGTGATGATGCTCAGGGAATGAGTGTTAGGTAATATAATATAAAAAAAAAAGGTTGCAGGAGAAATTTTATTCTACACATTTAATCACTATACATCACTAAGCTTTTACATCAAATTTACCCTATGTGAATATACTTCATACTAGTCCAGTTGAGGATACAAAACACATTGTTATCAATAGATAATAATCCATTTCTGTGTTCCATAAATGTCTTGCCTCTCTATTTTCTTCCTTCTTTCCTTATACTCTCCTCCTCTCCTCTGAAATAGTGTGTTGATATTCATTCTACAAAGGGGATCCCATGGCTAGAGTGCAGTATTTTCCCTGAAATGTGAAAAGAACATGGTTTTCATCATCTTTCAAAATCAAACACTGTAATTAAACTTGGGAACAACCAAATTATCTTACTACTTTTAGGTATTAGGTCATACCAGTCTTCTGTGTTGAAACCACAGAAGAATAAGATTCTTTCCATGTTCTTTTTTCCAATTATTGTTTTGCATATACGATTTTGTTTAGCCAGTTTATTTTCCACTGTGTTCTGACAACATTAAGTTATTAAGTGCTGAGAGAGTTATCACTATTGGGATTATAAAATCTAATTTTGATTTTGGAGATTGCTGGTATCCTTATACATTTTTTATTCTGTTCCTTGTTCCTCATTCTTCAAATTTTGAGTCATTTATGTACAATGTGAACATAACTGTGTGTCTTCAGTGAACTGTAAAGGATCAGTTATAAAAACTGAATCTTGCTTTTGATCAGGTGACTCTGAGTCCAGTTCCCCAACCTGATAAGAAATCATTTCACTCTCACATCATCCAACGTGCATGTTACTATATTTTTTTCTAAGATCCTTGAGTCACATAATCATACACATCAGGATTATTGGGGTGTGGCAGTATTTATCTCTCTTATTACCAAATATAATTCAAATAATTCTTCTAGTGCCTTTCATTCATTGTTTATTACATATAATAAAAATGTGCCAACATTGAAGAACTAAAACTGTAACCTCGCTGTACTTTGTATAATTTACAGGAATCTTTATGTAGAGTCTTTATAAAAGCTTTAGAAAAAATATCCACAATTGTACTGTAGTTGGCCATCAGGTGGTGTTGGCATTACGATGGCTGGATCCCACATGACTGACCGCAGCTCAAGTCCAGCAGGAAAAGCACCCTGTGCAAGTTCGTGTGGATGTGTCCCCAAAATCCCAAGAGGAGAATAGATTGTCGTGTGGCTACCTGTTCGATAGGGTGCTTTCTTACTTTCCCCCTCTCTCTGTTTTCTCCTTACAGCAATAACTAAAAAAGAAAGAAGTATTTTATTGATTCAGAGGATCTTTAATATTTATTTATTTATTTATTTATTTATTGCCTTATTACCATCAGATATTTAAAAGAGAAAGAACAAGGTGTGGAGATATATGTGTGGTCTTAATGTAGCAAATGTTTAGCCTGTTCTGATTATTACAGAATCAGAAAAGTGAGAATACTTGCAGTTATCTTTCAGTTTTTGATGTTCATCAGATACCTATCCTTCAGAGAGATGATATGTCACAACAAGTTCTTGTGAATAAATGTTAGATAATAATCCATTTGCCTTTTTACCTAAATGAGAGTGTTGAATTATGGTATATTTGATAATTTAAACAATTTGTGTTGTGAGCATGAATTGAACTAATCTATATATATATATATATACACATACATGCATACATTTGCAAGTGCTGGATATATGTGTAGTATTTATTAACATTGTTATCAGATCCTTACGAAAGTCCTGTTGCAAATAAAAATGTCAGAGGATGATAAGTTCTGTACAGATGTAAAAACTGAGGCCAAAGTGATAACTCCATAAAAATCTTAAGTTATTCAATGTAGTTCCTTTATAACTAGAACTTATCTGTTATCTTTTTAAACCTATTTAGTACTCCTTTAATTTTCAGTTTTATAAGCATGTGTGTGTGTCTAAGTCTTATTATAATAAGACTTATGAAAGAACCAAAACTATTGAAATCATCTGTAATATTTGATATTGCAAGCCTGGGATAGCTGCAATAGTGTCGTATCAGAGGGCATATTTATATTTCAATAAGTTTAATCAATAAAAACTTCATTCCAAGGAGATAATATGAAAGTGTGAAATACAATATGCAGGTATAATAGTGGAAAAATACTGAGTAGAGTAGTTTGACAAGAACAGAATTTCTATAAATGAATAAGCTACATATTACAGGTAACAAGGCACTCTGACACTTACTGGTTGAAACAGTATCCATTTATTTATCCTGTGATTCTATGAAGTGGCAATTTGGGGCAGGCTCTGCAGGGTAGGCGTGCTGATTAGGGCTAGACGAAGATGACCGTGGCTGGGCCTGCTCATAGGACAGTGGTTAGATTTCAGGTCAAGGGAGCTGGCCCTCCTCAGGTGGTTCTGCTGGGCCAGCTCACCTCTTTCCGTGTTGCCCCTCGTCCTCTTGCTGACCCAAGTCAGAGAACAGACTGAAAAATCTCTTGAGACTCAGATTCAAACTTTGTGCAACCTCGCTTTGGAGCATTATGTGTGCCACAGTAAATCACAGGCCAGCCTAGGCTCAAGATGTGGGTGACTTCTCCACTTGATGGTTGGCGAATCTGCAAAGAACTATGGTTACTTTTGTAATCTAACACAACCAGAACCGTGGCCAGGGAAATGGTACACACACTGTGAGATAATGACCCATGGGACTTGTAATCTGTGAAGTAGGTAAAGAAGGGGGAAATGTCAAGTTAAATTATTTAAATGAAGTGATTTAAAGAAACAACATAATTTATGTGGTTTAAGATTTGCATTGAAGTTGAACTGAATTAAAATCCATTTTACTACCAATCTCTTCCTTGAAAAACTGACTTTAGGAAAATCATTTAATTTCCATAAGCTCCTATAGGTTTTGCATTTGAAAAAAACAAACTGGAAATAATAATGGCTACTTCATTTCACTGACTGTTTGGGATGATGAAGTAAAATCATACCAGTAAAGTGCATAATAATGCACTTGATACAGTAAGGGCTCAAAACTGGCATAAATTAGTAATTTATAGAATACATATTTTTCTTAGTATTATGAATAATATCCTGATTACGACAAAACCACATCTCAGAAGGAAAGATTCATTTGAAAGTAATTCTGTTTGAGATAAGGGTTGATGGCATTGTCAGTGGGCATGGTGGCTGGGGCACTAGAAATTTAAAACTAGAGCTTTAAATAGAACACAGAGATAAAGATTCCCATTAGCAAGATGATAGCTGAAACCAAGGTGCTCTATTCTGTTCTCTCACTAGTAATAGCAAATATCTGAGACTGGGTGATTCATACAGTTAATGCTTCGAAGGTCTGGGTTCAAGAGGCCACATCTGGAAAGGGTCGTACTGATGGGTCCCCCAGCAAGACAGAGCAGAGCAGGATGCACATACCTGTGACCGTGTGTCTGTTTCCATGTCATTCTCTCTCTTTGAAAGGTCATGGCTTCATCCCCATGACCTTAATTCTAATCTCCTCTCAAAGGTCCCACCTTTAGCACTATTGTCCAATTACATTGTCACTCTCTCAATCACATCACAACCAGATCTCAACACATGCATGTGGGGGAGATGCACTCAGACTGTGGCCCGTGGGGATACAGAAAATATGGAGCAAAGATCTATGACGAAAAGAGCAGGCAGCCAAAACTCAATATTTAGGAATGGAGATTAGATGATAATTAATTTGGCAAGTTGGATTAGATGTGTAGGATAAGACGATGCTCTTGTTGTTGTTTGTTTTTCTGGCACTGAGCTTTTGCTCATCCTGTTTTCAGTCATGCCCATCATCACCAACTGTTAGAATCCCATTCTCCTGCAAAGATTTATATCACGTCTCTCCTACTTTCTTTGCTGGATAATCTTAGTCCAAATTATAGTATAGGTAAATAATAACAGCTCAAGAAAGATTCTAGTAAGTAAAAAGAATATACGTAATTTGAAATAAACAATGACTCCAAATCTTATGATAGTCCTTCAGGTATTATAGACATTAAATGTAGACATTATACATGCATATAAATTTATATATAATATTTATATTTGAGGGTCACCAATGATGCCTAAGCTTCTCCTAAACTTAAATATTTCAAAAAATTTAGGGTTTCTCCTTATAGGTGAGGGTAGACTTAGCACTACCAGCTCTAAATGGTAATAATTTATTTTAACTGATATAGAAAATCAAGACATCATCTGGTTCCTATGAAAGCAAATGGACATTTATTTTATTAAGGTGGTTTATATTTTCAAAAGATGCTTTCTCCAATGGCCCACCATGGGTAAGAGGGTTGTTTAGATTATCGACAATTTTGTCCTTATTTCTGTTGCTATATTTGTATTATCAAAGGGGATGTCAAAGGAGATTATTTTTCTCTCTTTCAAAAGTGACAATACAATCAAACTTTGTCCAAAACAAAATGACTATCAAATGGGTTTTTTCCTACTGAGATGTGTTTTTGTCATAAGCAGACTATTACTCATTATACTACTAAGAAAAACAAATTCTATAAAAAAGTACAGCATTTCTGAGCCGTTATTATATCATTATATCCATTATATACTACTGTATCAATGTAAACTTTTAGTTAAAATATTATATCATTTTTTGATTCTATTTAACAGACATTTATGTAGCATATGATACATAAAATATGCTCTTGTTTATCAATTTTAAAAGAGCATTTATAAGATTTATGTAAAAGACATATATCTCAGCTTTCTTAATTTAAATCTAAAAAAACATTTCAGAAGGTGGTAGAACCTGTTGTGAACACATATTGCTGACTTTAGGAAAACAACATTTTTCAACTGAGTAGACATCTTTGTGAGTGTGGGTAAAGGGAATGTGAGTCATGCTGGAGGTGGGAGGAAATGTGGGTGGTTGTATTTTATTTTTTTAGGCTGTGGGTGGTATTTTGATATGTTGGGGATATTTCAAGGCTTGGGAGTGGATGTTCTATTGTAGTTTCTATTTTCTTTTGTCAGGGATGTGCTGGAAGTTGTTTTTATTGCAGATGGTATTTGGTAATTTGATCCAGAAAGAACTGTTCATGGAGAAAAAGTGAGGCGAAATTGATACTAGTCAAACATCCTCCTATATTACTCATATGGTAGTTGTTATTGCTTTTCTGGCTGTATTTTGTCTCTTAATTAGATCCTGAGGAATAAACGAGATGTTGGCTTTCATATTTTATACACTGAAAGATTTGACCATTCCCTTAATAGCAAGTACTTCCTTCAGAAGAGGGAAGAGAAGAATGACTGGACACAAGAGAAATATGGGGAAACAGTTCCAAAGTACATTGAAGAGGGGGGAAAATGTAAGGCAAAAGGAGAAAAACCTGAAAACATTTTCTCCTATTTGCATTAGAGCAAGGAGCTCTAAAAAACTCCTCAATAGAGTCTCTAAATGTCTAAGATGATTTTTATTCTGCAAGGGTCTTACGTGGATGAACTCCGTTAAACAAGTTCCATTCTCAGTTCTCCAACTTCCAATCTTACTTCTTTTGTTACCCATAAAAATCATCAAAATTCTTGGTTCCAAGTGTAGTTGTGAAAATTATCTCACTCTAAAGATAATTTGTTCCTGGGACCAGCAAGTGGCATGGTGGTTAAGGCCCTGGACAGTCCCATGTGGCCGACCAGGATTCAAGTCCTGGACCTGGTGGCTTGCTTTCTCACTTTCTTCTCTCTCTCTCTCTGTGTGTGTCTCTCTGGTCAAATTAAAATGAAGGAATGTGAATGAATGAATAAATAAATAAATAAATAAATAAATAAATCTTAAAAAAAAAAAGATAATTTGTTCCTTAATGTTCTCTCTCTTTTTACTGCCACGACCCTGGCCCCAGTCACTGCTGTGTCACAACTGGATTTCTGCAGCAGCCTCCTCATTAGGTTCCTTTCACACAGTATCACTTCCTCAAAAGTCAGCAAATTCTGTACTAAGCACTTTTAAACACACATATCTGATCACAGCCGAGCTGCCATTGCATTCTAGACAAGCAAATTGGAAGCACAGGAGGTGGTAGCCAAAATGCTGGAGTGCTCACTCCTCACTTACTGACTGAATGAGCGAATTGGTCGATCAGCAAAGATCTTAAAGGCAGGTGTATGGTGGTGCCATAGGGTATGTATGTTTTAATAGGTATCACGTGATACCACACTACAATGCTGTAACTATTCACATAGAAAACATCCATTAGATAAGCACTGGAAAGTGACAGGATACCCCACAATGCAATAATATAAATTTAAAGTAATAATTTTTATTTATTCTGACTACTACTATGGCTATACAATATAGTACAAATTTATAAGTGGAATATGTAGTTTTGTGTATATAATTCATGTACTGACTACTGACCGACTGTAGGAGCAAGACAAAGACCGAGAAAGGGGATTCCTGAGACTCCTGCAGGTGGAAAGAGGGATCCCGCATGC